TCGTGCTCTGGAGGATTGTGTTACTATAGCGGGTTTTAATTTTCCTTCTGCGCGAACACGTATGATAAATATTCTTGGATAATCTTCTCGGTCATATAGACATTCGGAAACAACTACACACCGCTTATATTAATAATATTCGGGCACATAACACAAGGGTCGACAAAAATCGCCATATGTTACGCCGATTGATAATGTGCATACAATTTTGTGGAGTGTTTGAATTTGCTGTAAGTGGACATAACGAAAGTAAGGAATCACAAAATTCAGGTATATTTTTTGAGGTCTGATTGATTTTATGGCTGAATTGGACTTTATTAGATCATTTGAAAGAAGCAACGGTTTTTAAAGGAACGCCTAAAACTGCCCAAAATGAACTTTGGGATGCCATGAACACCGAAGGCAAAAAAGTATGTGGAGAAATCCTTTTTTATTTTTATTGAATGTATTTTTGTATTTATTTCCGCCACACAATTTCGTCTATTAATTGGTAATAACAACTTGTTTTATATCTTCATATTTAGCTCATCAATCAAATTGTGTCCCCCCATTTCGAAAGGTCACCAGCCGCAACTACCTTTTAAAGACACTTAACTTACTGTTCCCTCGTACGTTCGCATTTGAAATATTGTTCACCAATATGGTTTCCGTTTTATAAATCGGATAATGATTATTTGGAAAGAATTCAAAAGAAATTTTTTAGATGTTTCGAGTTCCGAACGCATTGGCCTCTCCATAAAGGCCAATACGAGTTCATCACAAATTTCATAAACCTGCCTTCTCTGCATACAAGGAGGATACTGTCGGATGGTTGCCTTTTACATGGTTCCATTAATGCCCATATTGATTGCCCTGAAATATTATCACATTTGGATTTCTATGTTCCTGATCCTTCGGGTTGTAATACACGCAGTGTAAAAATTTTTAGAGTGCATCCTCCGTTAAAAACAAATTTTGCTTTTAATAATCCAATTAATAGATTAATGGAACTTGGAAACAAATTTGCTTCCATAGAAAAGTTTGATCTTTTCCAGAATTCAAAACATATTCAGACGTGAATTCTTTTATATTCTCAACAATAATCTTTTGTACATTTAATTCGTTTATTTTTGTAACTTGGAGTAATCCGTAACATGATTAAAAATAACAATAATAATAAACATATTTTTTATTGTAGACCTGTTACATACATATGATAAACTCATTCGTTAAATGTTTGCGACAAGTCAAAATCACTAATTTGATTATGCATTTTCTGGCCAAACTGTGTCTTCAATCCACTTAATGTAGCGAGAAATTCGAGTATTTACAGTGGGACCACCGGAACACTCCACTTCAAACGAAGTTAAGCCAACTATATCATACATACAAGAGGTAGCATCGTCAGTCCGATATATTTGCAGCGGTCCACCAGAATTACTCTGAAATGTCAGACATATTTTTGTCTTCTCTCATATTACTGATTATTATTATTCATTTTTAACTGACCTGACAAGCCTTTCCTCCAATCTTGTTGCTTGTGCAAATTTGCGTATCATTTACAATTAGCCTTCTAACGCTTTTGAACCTGTTCTTATAAGTTTGATGGTCTACAATATCTTGTGTTATTTTAAACACTCTTTCACTGTCGCTTCCTCCATACCGTGTATATGCTCATCCAGTAGCAATAACTCCCGAAACAGGAATGTCGAACCGTGTGTTGAGACAAGTCGGACGAACATAAGAATTCATCTCTACTTGTTTCTCCAGTTTTAAAAGTGTTATGTCGTTGTGACCGGTAGTAAATTTAAATTCTGGATGTACCTACCACTACATTTGCTATTTTTATTTCTTGGGTGTGGATAGTGTCGTTAACATCTGTGACCCCCAACAACACTGATTTTGGTTCAAGACTGAAATAGTACGACACAAATTCAATACTCCAAATTCTACTAATATTTTTTGACTTATTAATTAATTATTTTGAAACTTCCTAGCCACCTGGAAGGAAACAATGTGCAGCTGTCAAAATATATTCTTCACTTATGAGTGATCCTCCACATAACCACGTAAGATCCCCAGAAACTTCGTTCTGATATCCTAAGACTGCCACATGCGGAAATTCTTTTCGCTCAACAGGTCGTTGTCCTCCAACAATCAGCTGGACAATTTTATGTCCACATAATTGTTTCTCTTGTATATACGAAGAATATTCTCTACATTCTAAAACGCAATTTGAATTTGGTTTGTTTTGTAAGTACACAAAATCTGCTTTTTTACAAACTTCTTTCGGTGATATCTTCTGGTCGACGAGAGTTTGGACAACAAACCACGGATTGGATTCCTTGGTTGCCGCAAGTTTGGGGCGCATTGTGACCAGACTTTACTTCGTCTTGGACCGCCTCACACTCCTTTAATAGTTTGCATGCTCCTGAAGAGTTAGACGACTTGAGGGTGCAGGGGTTTCCTGTAATTGAACTGCTTAGTTTCAAGAAAAACAAAAAAGGGACACTGTCTATGCATTGTAAATGATGGCATAGTTTGATTTCATTTAACTTACCAATTATGTTTTCCCTATAAACTTGGTTTATGGTGATTGCAAATACTATAACTAGAAGTTTAAACATTTTAGCAACATAATCAACAATCACACTCGTGCAGTGCACTTTCTACCAGTGCTCGTTTTATAACACAACACTGATTGTGTTTCAAGACTGAAATAGTACGACACAAATTCAGTACTCCAAATACTACAAATATTTTTTGACTTATTAATTAATTATTTTGAAACTTACTAGCCACCTGGAAGGACACAATGTGCAGCTGTCAAAATATATTCTTCACTTATAAGTGATCCTCCACATAACCACGTAAGATTTACAGAATCTTCGTTGTGATATCCTGAGACTGCTATATGCGGAAACTTGTTTCGCTCAGCAGGTCGTTGTCCTCCAACAATCAGCTGGACAATTTTGTGTCCACACAATTGTTTCTCTTGTATATACGAAGAATATTCTCTACATTCTAAAACGCAATTTGAATTTGGTTTGTTTTGTAAGTACACAAAATCTGCTTTTTTACAAACTTCTTTCGGTGATATCTTCTGGTCGACGAGAGTTTGGACAACAAACCACGGATTGGATTCCTTGGTTGCCGCAAGTTTGGGGCGCATTGTGACCAGACTTTACTTCGTCTTGGACCGCCTCACACTCCTTTAATAGTTTGCATGCTCCTGAAGAGTTAGACGACTTGAGGGTGCAGGGGTTTCCTGTAATTGAACTGCTTAGTTTCAAGAAAAACAAAAAAGGGACACTGTCTATGCATTGTAAATGATGGCATAGTTTGATTTCATTTAACTTACCAATTATGTTTTCCCTATAAACTTGGTTTATGGTGATTGCAAATACTATAACTAGAAGTTTAAACATTTTAGCAACATAATCAACAATCACACTCGTGCAGTGCACTTTCTACCAGTGCTCGTTTTATAACACAACACTGATTGTGTTTCAAGACTGAAATAGTACGACACAAATTCAGTACTCCAAATACTACAAATATTTTTTGACTTATTAATTAATTATTTTGAAACTTACTAGCCACCTGGAAGGACACAATGTGCAGCTGTCAAAATATATTCTTCACTTATAAGTGATCCTCCACATAACCACGTAAGATTTACAGAATCTTCGTTGTGATATCCTGAGACTGCTATATGCGGAAACTTGTTTCGCTCAGCAGGTCGTTGTCCTCCAACAATCAGCTGGACAATTTTGTGTCCACACAATTGTTTCTCTTGTATATACGAAGAATATTCTCTACATTCTAAAACGCAATTTGAATTTGGTTTGTTTTGTAAGTACACAAAATCTGCTTTTTTACATACTTCTTTCGATGATATTCTTGGTCGACGAGAGTTTGGACAACAAATTACGGATTGGATTCCTTGGTTGGCGCAAGTTTGGGGCGCATTGTGACCAGACTTTACTTCGTCTTGAACCGCCTCACACTCCTTTAATAGTTTGCATACTCCTGAAGATTTAGGCGACTTGAGGATGCAGGGGTTTCCTGTAATTGAACTGCTTAGTTTCAAGAAAAACAAAAAAGGGACACTGTTTATGCATTGTAAATGATGGCATAGTTTGATTTCATTTGACTTACCAAATATGTTTTCCTTATAAACTTGGTTTATGGTGATTGCAAATACTATAACTAGAAGTTTAAACATTTTAGCAACTTAATCAATAATCACACCCGTGTAGTGGACTCTCTACCAGTGCTCGTTTTATAACACAACACTGATTGTGTTTCAAGACTGAAATAGTACGACACAAATTCGGTACTCCAAGTACTACTAATATTTTTTGACTTATTAATTAATTATTTTGAAAATTACTAGCCACCCGGAAAGATACAATGTGCAGCTGTCAAAATATATTCTTCATTTATAAGTTATCCTCCACATAACCACGTAAGATTTCCAGAATCTTCGTTCAGATATATCGCTCAGCAGGTCGTTGTCCTCCAACAATCAGCTGGACAATTTTATGTCCACATAATTGTTTCTCTTGTATATACGAAGAATATTCTCTACATTCTAAAACGCAATTTGAATTTGGTTTGTTTTGTAAGTACACAAAATCTGCTTTTTTACATACTTCTTTCGCCGATGTCTCCTGGACGACGAGAGCTTGGACAACAAACTACGGATTGGATTCCTTGGCAGCCGCAAATTTGGTTCGCATTGTGTTCAGACTTTACTTCGTCTTGAACCGCCTCACACTCCTTTAATAGTTTGCATACTCTTGAAGAGTTAGACGACTTGAGGGTGCAGGGGTTTCCTGTAATTGAACTGCTTAGTTTCAAGAAAAACAAAAAAGGGACACTGTCTATACATTATAAATGATGGCATAATTTGATTTCATTTAACTTACCAATTATGTTTTCCCCATAAACTTGGTTTATGGCGATTGCAAATACTATAACTAGAAGTTTAAACATTTTGGCAACTTAATCAATAATCACACTCGTGCAGTGCACACTCTACCAGTGCTCGTTTTATAACACAACACTGATTTTGGTTCAGGACTGAAATAGTGCGACACAAATTTGGTACTCCAAATACTACTAATATTTTTTGACTTATTAATTAATTATTTTGAAATTTACTAGCCACCTGGAAGGATACAATGTGCAGCTGTCAAAATATATTCTTCACTGATAAGTGATCCTCCACATAACCACGTAAGATTCCCAGAATCTTCGTTCTGATATCCTAAGACTGCCACATGCGGAAATTCTTTTCGCTCAACAGGTCGTTGTCCTCCAACAATCACCTGGACAATTTTATGTCCACATAATTGTTTCTCTTGTATATACGAAGAATATTCTCTACATTCTAAAACGCAATTTGAATTTGGTTTGTTTTGTAAGTACACAAAATCTGCTTTTTTACATACTTCTTTCGGTGATATCTTCTGGTCGACGAGAGTTTGGACAACAAACCACGGATTGGATTCCTTGGTTGCCGCAAGTTTGGGGCGCATTGTGACCAGACTTTACTTCGTCTTGAACTGCCTCACACTCCTTTAGTAGTTTGCATACTCCTGAAGAGTTAGACGACTTGAGGGTGCAGGGGTTTCCTGTAATTGAACTCCTTAGTTTCAAAAAAAACAAAAAAGGGACAAATTGACGAATTAGGTTACAAATTGTATGGTTATCGATACGATTGGTGTGAGTCTTGATCTTATAGTTTTCAATACTAATTGTCGGCAACATTCACACGTGTTAATAGACACAACAGTAGTTTGTTATAGCTGTTTTTTTTGTGTGTGGATGTGTATTTGGCATAAAGTTTTAGCAAGTATATCCACATAGTTTTTTCTTTTTTCTCTTAACTTATCAGCTACTTACAGCTTCTCACTCAAGTCCATTAGTGGCGCTGGTATCAAAATATTTTTTTGGGTACTAAAATGACATTGTTGATGTTTTATTTTCATCTAACCTAAATATAATGTCGATAGCGACTACTTCAACAACACCAAAGAGTGAAGGCTCACCAAATTCTGTTTCTGAAGTATGTCCAGCGTGCAAGGCCCCTGCGGACAAATCGTTACTATCCTCCATGGTTTACAGGTCATGTGATTTCAGCGCTACGTCAAAAAGAGCTTGCTTTTAAACAGCATAAAAAATTAAAAACTGTTGATTCGCATGAAAAATTCAGGTCTCTCCGTTCATACTGTAAGACTTTAACTAATTGTGCTTATAGGGAATACACATTAAATGTTGAAAATCGTCTTCAAGATGAGCCTGCGAAATTTTGGGAATTTGTTCAAAGCAAGAAGAGTACCACAAGAATCCCTGGTACAATGACTTATAATGAGTGCGCACTTGACAGTCCTAGTCTCATAATGAAAGCGTTTGCCGATTACTTCAGTTCAGTATATATTGATTCGCAGCCTAATGTTAAATTCGATAAACATGAAGTTGGTAGTAGTGTATCTATTTTGCACATTTTTTAGAATGATGTTTATTCTGTATTAAAAAACTTAAAATACTCTTTTACTATGGGTCCTGATGGGGTACCGAGTTTTTTATTGAGGGATTGTACAAGCAAATTTGTCCAGCCTTCGGTGTACTTATATAATCTAATTATTATTAAAACCGGTATTTTTCCAACATATTGGAAAAGAGCAACAATTTGTCCTGTGTTTAAGAAAGGAGACAAATCAGATGTAACTAACTACAGACCAATCTCTCTACAAACTTAGCCTGCTTCAGTCAATTTTCTAGTGAAGCCGTTGACAGCAAGCGACAGGTCGATACTATATATGTGGATTTTCGGAAGGCGTTTGATCAAATTGATCATTATGTTTTACTGCGAAAATTAAGTAACTTCGGTTTTTCTGATAGCTTATAAAAGTCTTGGAATCGTATCTGCTAAATAGAGTACAGTGTGTGCAGTACCGCGGTTACAAATCGAAAAATATCGTTCCTTTGTCTGGAGTACCCCAGGGGTCCAACTTGGGACCGCTCTTATTTTTGTTGTTTGTTAATGATATTAGAGAGGTTGTCTCAGCGGGTAACTTATTGTTTGCTGATGATTTTAACTTCTACAGAGTTATCAAATCCCTTGATGATTGCGTCGCTCTCCAAAGTGACCTTGATAATGTTTATCAATGGTGTCTGCTTAATCGTTTATTTTTGAATACCATTAAATATTTATTGGTAACGCATACCCGGAAATTGTCCCAATTTGTTTTCAATATAGCATAGATAATGAAACATTGGGACGAGAAAATTCTGTATTAGATCTAGGAATATTGTTTGATTCTGTTTTAACGTTTGTACCGCACATTGGAAATACGATTTCAAAAGCCTATAAAATTTTAGGATTCATTTAGCGAAACAGCAAAGAGTTTAATAAAACACAAACCCTTAAAACCTTGTTTATTGCACTTGTCAGATCTAGGTTGGAGTATGGCTCAATCATTTGGCGCACCACATATCAAGTCCACATTAGCAATATTGAATCTATACAGAGAATGTTTTTAAAATATCTGGCCTATCGTGAAGATCATGTATATCCTCTGAGAGGGTATCCGCAATTACAGCTGTTAAGTAGATTTAACTTCTCCTTTCTAAATACGAGAAGACTAATTTCGGGTGTGAGATTCATTTTAAATTTGATTAATTATAAAGTTACTTGCGCTTTTTTGCTTGGTAAAATAAATTTTCTTACACCGAAATTTAATGTTCGCCAACACAAACTATTTTATTGTCCCCCTTGTAAGAGTAATTTACTTCAAAAATCTCCGATTGTTGCTATGTGCACAGTGTACAACAAAATATCCAAGGACTGTGATCTTTCTGCTAAAAATGCTAGCATTGCTCCTTGTATTACTGCTGAATATGGTGCTTAGTGTATTTCTAGTATTATCTTTAATAATCTACAAACTAAAATTTTGTCTTTTCTTTTGACATGCCCAATTTAATTACATTTTCACTTTCTTTTTCTTTTTTTTTCATTTTCCCTATAAAGTGGGTTATCCCGTTGGGAAAGTTGCGTTTAATAATAATAATAATAATATTATTATTTCTGTTGCTTGTCAATGATCTACAATTTTGTTTCAAGTATTCTATTACAATCTGATTTAAATGGGTTATATGACTGGTGTAATCGGAATCAATTATTTTTAAATACAGATAAGTGTTATGTTATAACATTCTGTAACGTGACAAATTTATACCAAGATATTTATAAAATAAATGACGGTGCCTTGAAGGTAGTAAATGAAATAAAAACCTCGGTGTGGTGTTTGATTGAAAATTATCTTTTAAATCTAATTATGATTATATTTTCAAAAAGTCAATGAGCATGTTGGATTTTGTATGGCGTCACTGTCACATGTTATCTACATTCTCCTTAAAGACACTTTACTGTTCTCTCGTACGTTCGCATTTGGAATATTGTTCACCAATATGCTTTCCGTTTTATAAATCGGATAATGATTATTTGGAAAGAATTCAAAAGAAATTTCTTAGATGTTTGGAGTTCCGAACGCATTGGACTCACCATAAAGGCCAATACGAGTTCATCACAAATTTCATAAACCTGCCTTCTCTCCATACAAGGAGGAGGCTGTCAGATGGTTCCCTTTTACATGGTTCCATTAATGCCCATATTGATTGCCCTGAAATATTATCACAGTTGGATTTCTATGTTCCTGATCCGTCGGCTTGTAATGTACGCAGTGTAAAAATTTTTTGGAGTGCATCCTTCGTTAAAAACAAATTTTGGTTTTAATAATCCAATTAATAGATTAATGGAACTTGGAAACAAATTTGCATCCATAGAAAAGTTTGATCTTTTCCAGAATTCAAAACATATATTCAGACGTGAATTCTTTTATATTCTCAACAATAATCTTTTGTACATATAATTAATTTATTTTTGTAAATTGGAGTAATCCGCAACATGATTAAAAATAACAATAATAATAAATATATTTTTTATTGTAGACCTGTTACATACATATGATAAACTCATTCGTTAAATGTTTACTATACTATACTAGATCGTGTTACAGACAATTATTATTTGCCTGTCGTTTCTTGTTAGACAAGCGACAAGTCAAAATCACTAATTTGATTACGCATTTTCTGGCCAAACTGTGTCTTCAATCCACTTAATGTACTGCGAAACTCGAGTGTTTACAGTGGGACCACCGGAACACTCCACTCCAAACGAAGTTAAGCCAACTATATCATACATACAAGAGGTAGCGTCGTCAATCCGATATATTTGCAGCGGACCACCAGAATTAGTCTGAAATGTCAGACATATTTTTGTCTTCTCTCATATTACTGATTATTATTATTCATTTTTAACTGACCTGACAAGCCTTTCCTCCAATCTTGTCGCTTGTGCAAATTTGCGTGTCATTTACAATTAGCCTTCTCACGCTTTTGAACCTGTTATTACAAGTGTGATGGTCTACAATATCTTGTGTTATTTTAAACACACTCTCACTTTCGCTTCCTCCATACCGTGTATATGCCCATCCAGTAGCAATAATTCGCGAAACAGGAATGTCAAAGTGTGTGTTGAGACAAGCCGGGCGAACGTAAGAATTTAACTCTACGGGTTTTTCCAGTTTTAAAAGTGCTATGTCGTTGTGACCGGTAGTAAATTTAAATTCTGGATGTACCACTACATTTGCTATTTTTGTTTCTTGGGTGTGGATAGCGTCGTTAACATCTGTGACCCCCAACAACACTGATTTTGGTTCAAGACTGAAATAGTACGACACAAATTCAATACTCCAAATACTACTAATATTTTTTGACTTATTAATCAATTATTTTGAAACTTACTAGCCACCTGGAAGGAAACAATGTGCAGCTGTCAAAATATATTCTTCACTTATAAGTGATCCTCCACATAACCTCGTAAGATTCCGAGAATCTTCGTTCTGATATCCTAACACCGCCATATGCGGAAACTCTTTTCGCTCAGCAGGTCGTTGTCCTCCAACAATCAGCTGGACAATTTTATGTCCACACAATTGTTTCTCTTGTATATACGAAAAATATTCTCTACATTCTAAAACGCAATTTGAATTTGGTTTGTTTTGTAAGTACACAAAATCTGCTTTTTTACACCCTTCTTTCGCTGATATCTCCTGGACGACGAGCGTTTGGACAACAAACCACGGATTGGATTCCTTGGTTGCCGCAAGTTTGGGGCGCATTGTGACCAGACTTTACTTCGTCTTGAACCGCCTCACACTCCTTTAATAGTTTGCATACTCCTGAAAAGTTAGACGACTTGAGGGTGCAGGGGTTTCCTGTAATTGCACTGCTTAGTTTCAAGAAAAACAAAAAAGGGACACTGTCTATGCATTGTAAATCATGGCATAGTTTGATTTCATTTGACTTACTAATTATGTTTTCCCCATAAACTTGGTTTATGGTGATTGTAAATACTATAACTAGAAGTTTAAACATTTTAGCAACTTAATCAATAATCACACCCGTGTAGTGCACTCTCTACCAGTGCTCGTTTTATAACACACGCAGTGGGTATTTACACGTCTGGCAATTCCAGGGACAAGGTTTCTTTTTGACTTTGTAGATGAAGGAAAAAATAGTGACTGTTGGGAACAAAACCATGGTGAAAATTTCAACATCAGCAAGTCGCTCAATACACTTATACGTTCTTATGGAGTTCGACTTGTTAATGTGCGACTTCCTGATTTCCTTTAAATGCTAGTCTCAAGAACTAATTTTATCTTATGATATAGGCTTCGGATTTTAGTTCGTTAAAAAATGAATAAAAGGAGACATTTTTAGGTCCCAAAATTGACGAATTAGGTTATAAATTGTATGGTTATCGATACTGTTGGTGTGAGACTTGATCTTATAGTTTTCAGTACTAATTGTCGGCAACATTCACACTTGTTAATAGACACAACAGTAGTTTGTTATAGCTGTTTTTTTGTGTGTGAATGTGTATTTGGCATAAAGTTTTTGCAAGTATATCTACATAGTGTTTTCTTTTTTCTCTTAACGTATCAGCTACTTACAGCTTCTCACTCAAGTCCATTAATGGCGCTAGTATCAAAACATTTTTTTGGGTACTAAAATCACATTGTTGATGTTTTATTTTCATCTAACCTAAATATAATGTCGATAGCGAGTACTTCAACAACACCAAAGAGTGAAGGCTCACCAAATTCTGTTTCTGAAGTATGTCCAGCGTGCAAGACCCCTGCGGACAAATCGTCACTATCCTTCATGGTTTACAGGTCATCTGATTTGAGCGCTACGTCAAAAAGAGCTTGCTTTTAAACAACAGAAAAAATTAAAAACTGTTGATTCGCATGAAAAATTTAAGCCTCTCCGTTCATACTGTAAGACTTTAACAAATTGTGCTTATAGGGAATACATATTAAATGTTGAAAATCGTCTTCAAGATGAGCCTGCGAAATTTTGGGAGTTTGTTCAAAGCAAGAAGAGTACCACAAGAATCCCTGGTACAATGACTTATAATGAGTGCACACTTGACAGTCCTAGTCTCATTGTGAATGCGTCAGCCGATTACTTCAGTTCAGTATATATTGATTCGCAGCCTAATGTTAAATTCGATGAACATAAAGTTGGTAGTAGTGTATCTGTTCGGTCCAGTCAGGTAGACCGAAGGAGAAGGGGTGCAGCAGACTCCACCATCCCACCCACCACCACCACTTATAAATATGTAAATTTAAATAGTAGTAGATTCGAATAAACCGTGAAGCAGAAAGGTCGTGTCTCACTGAAACTATATTTATAGTTTCAACATCATTTTGGTCATCCATTGTGACCACATCATTTTTGGTCATCCATTGTGACCAACATTTGTGGTCACCCATTTGTGATCGCTGGTCCTTCGAGCAAATACAAAAACTTACCGTTGGGTCACCCACTTATGAGCTAACATTTGGTCCTTCGAGCCGGATCGTCACAATTTCCGTCAGGTCACCCACTTATGACCTAACAGAAATAACTGAGTCTCTTGGCAGTACTTTTTATACAAAGATGTGAACTTTTGTTAGGTTTACGTTCGCATAATGGAAGTAATTGTGTGACAGATACGTCAATCGTGACATGCGATAAATTTTGGTTATGTTGTAGATACATTTTGCAAAAAGGTCAACAATCTGTCAATCTTGACAGCTGACAACCGGAAATTGTAGAAAACATCATGATACCAATTTCAACTAAAAATGCAGGATTGCCGACAGACTCGGTCATGTCACGCGGTAGTTCAGGGGCGAGGGAAGTTCTGTCGAAATAACCTTCGACCAATTTTTTTCTATCAAAAAAGCAAAGTCATCTTGATGACTTTTTCAAGTGAACATCTGAACTTAATTAGCGTTGGTACAATGGGAGAATTTTGAACCAGGTAGGTATGTATTAGCGAGAAATGGCATTAAATACGTTTCACTTAGGGGGAAGGGATAAACGAACAGTTGTGCCGTCAGAAATGGCCATCAGTTTGTACTTGCGACCACACTTACTATGTCTTACGTACTCGTGTTCATAGTGTTGACGTCCGTTATCCATTTCAGCGATAACGTACCTCTTACAACGTGGGAGAAAAAGTTGGTATGTGCTCGAAGACATCCTCGGGGCTGCATTCAATCCGAGGTACATGAGTGTCGAAGAGCCAGTCAAAACCGAGTCTGCAAGTAGTGGAAAACGTGGTGTTTCTTTCGGAGAAGAGTTCTACGTCGACGACAACTTTCTCGAACAAATCGACTCTGAGCCAGCCTGGAACGTCAACAACCACGTAACCCTTACAAAGAAGCGATACGGGTTCCATCGAAGGAAAAGAAGTAGCGACTATTTATAGCAATGGCAGTGCAGTTCTAAAATTGAATGGATCGATTTGGAGCCGGATTATTTTCCGAGATATTTGCGATCGGTAGTGTGTTTAAGTGAAAATTGTTGGTTCGGTCTGTATAGCTGCAGACCAAAATCTTTCACAGTTAAACTGCTACGAAGAAAAAAGGGTTTTTGTGCGAACGATTCTAAAAATGGCAATCAAGTAGGATTGAGCGGTTTGCCGAAGGATTTGAAGGAGTTGTGGGTGTGGGAAGAAAAAGCGCTGAATTTTTGCTGCGATTGTGTGAGAGTGTAGGAACGTTTCAGGATTAATGTAGTTGTTAATTTTGTTAGTTGGTTTTAACATTTAATTTATTTATAGCAGTAAATAGATCAAGTTTAAATAATTTACCTATGAGTGTTGACTTTTTTGAATCCAGTGATATTAAATGTTCAATGAGTGTGATATATGTAGGAGAAAATGTTAGTTTAGGGAGATATTTTCTTTTAAATGTGCAATGTTTATCGATTAAAAACTGGACAGGAACAATTATCGTATGTTGTTATTGTAAGTATTAGATATAATGTTTTATGTACACTTTGTAACCTGTTTTTGTGTTTGTAATACATAATTTTGCCTGATTTATTTTTGTTTAATATAAATATTAAATTTACTGCTGCTGTTAAGCCGCTTATGTAAAAATATACATATAAAGAAAACCAACAGTTTTTATTTTTGAATAAAAGTAAATTTCCAAAATTTGATATATTGACACAATCTTCATAATTTACTAATGTTATTTAAAAAGTTTGCTAAAGTTTACATAAAAGTAAATTTGTGTAAAACAACCTCTTCGTCAAAAAAATTCTATTGTTTCAAGTAATAAAATGATCTAAATGTTTTGATAAAAATTACTTAACTTTCTGATGTACTGCAAGTTCCAAGAGAACCGGGATGAACACGTGCTTGCTGGAAAAGTTTTCTTGTTTAAAACTTTCACTCATTGCACTATTACATCGTTAAATCTACTTTAAAGTGCAGATGGTAACAGCTAAATGAATACTTAATAATTATCACACAATGATATACCTGAATGACAAATTAAAAAGCCATTTAAATGAAATTATCCAAGTATGTACCGGGCACAGAGAACAAACGATGTTTTTAAAATGTCTACATTGACTGTTGTAGACATGTATCTATCTTTGAAAATACTTTATTTTTTTAACATTCCAAACTAAAAATTTAAAATGTCAATGTTACTGACAGTGAGCTCTAAAAGTGTTAAAATTTTTAGGACTAGATAATTAACAATCTGACAGTTTTGTTGCTCGTTGATCATGCTTTAGGTCTGTAGAGCAGGGCTCTTATAAGTTCTAGCAAACAAAAGTGACGGCCTTAACTTTTAAAGCCGCTATAGGATTACCACAAAAGTATGAACTTCTGTCAAATAATGTTTATTACCCTTCTGTTTACGAGTAAACACCTGCAGAGGAGCGAGATGAAAATGAGTCAAGCGAAGTGGCATCGAAAGTTAGACCAGACCAGGTAGAAAATAGCGAAGAAAATTATTTTGTGACAAACTTGTCGACTGTTAGAAAACTCTGGTAATCAGATGCGGAGAGCGCGGTGTGTTCAAATTGTGGTGCAAAATTTTGTAACTACTTGATTCCTCACAATGACCGAACTATGGTACAAATTTCTTAATTGGGGATTAAGCTATCTCGCTTTAATCAGGCATCTACGTTATTTATTATTCGAAATTCTGTGTGAGGAACTTAATAAAATTTAGTAAACAACGTGAACATCAGAGCTGTTCAAAGTACTCAAAAAAAGTACTTGAAGTACCAAGTACAAAGTACTACTTGAAATAGTGTTCAAGTAAAGTACAAAGTACTTACTTTCAGCAAGAGTATTTCAAGTATCAAGTACTTTTCAGATGTACTTGAAGTACTCGTAAGTACTTGAAGTACTGAAAATGCTTCAAGTACTTTCTAATTATTTGAAATACTGTAGAACTAGATAACTTTTCCTGTTTTTTCAAAAAAGCTTAATATATTTTAGAACTGAATTTTTTAATACTCAGAATTTAAGTATACAATAATACATATTTCGCCACATAAAAAATTGCATAAGCATCAACTTAAATGCAGAATGGTAGCTCACTTATTAATAATACTATGTTATTTATAAACAATATTCTTTTGAAATACTTTTACATTTTCTGTTGACACAATGCCTTCGACAAAATTAACGTCTATTTCTAATTTAAAATCTAAAATAAAATACATGACGGCGTTGTCTATGTATGCTTACTATTAATTTATAACAAAAACACCGCTGTATGGTATTTTCTCAGGCTTCTGTTGCCTTTTTTTAATATTTTGAATTTTGATTCACCACCAAAACGTTCTGATTTTTTAATAAAGTTGTTTTAAAAATATATGAATTTTATGAACCGGTTCCGTGTTTAAATTTGTGGGTAGTTTACAGCACCCTTAATCATTACCCATTGTGAAAGTGCACAGGGCCGGATTTGTGAAACTGAAATTTTTCAGAAAAAAATTTTAAGAGCAGTGCGATACATATACATGCTCGTGACATAAAAATGTTTAAGTCACTATGTTGCATTTTCAAAAAAAACGTATGAATTTTTTAAATAAAAAATAAAATCCCTAAAACGAGAGTCCATTTTCAGCGAAAACTATAACTCTTGAAAAATATCAAGGTGATCAAAGTAATTAGTCATTTTTTACTTTTGCGGTTACCAAAAATGCTGAGAATTTTCTTGGAATAAATGCCTCATATTCCTGAATATATCTGTCTACCACTTACGTATTTACTATTCTAAAAATTATTAAATTAACCTAAATACTACAGTGACTAAATAGTAAACACTAATCACTACAATGTTTGTCTAACTAAGTATATAACTTTACACTGACAAATCACAAATACTAGGTTCGTAATGCTGTGCCGTCCATTTATACAAAATTTTGTTCTTCTAATGCCACAATATTTCCAGAATTTTCCTATACATTTTCGATTGGCTTATTTTTTATTTTTACCTGAAAACCCAAAGAAGATGGCATTAGTAACTGATAACTACAATGACTTCAGGGAATGCCTAACAACGGCTTTTGCGAAAATTCAGGTAAATATGTACTAAATTTATTATTGTTAAAATATTTCGTAGGGGTGTATTTATCTAGGCTATTATACTAACTAATCGCGAATTTCACTAACTTTGTATTTTTTTATAATGTGAATATGTATTGTTCCATTTACGGAAGCGGCCACTGACCCTTTTGGGTATCTTTACCTGATATTGTAAATACAAATGTAAATTCAGTACTTCTGTAACCGTCCTGTATTTAAACATCGAAACCGAACGCTGTCTATTATTTCGCACACAACGAAACAAAGGTCCTTCGAGCAATATCAAAGTACAATTCGGTACTCATCAAAACCATACAATCATGATCGTATCAACTGGATTACAAAACATTGGTACTACGAGCCGAGTTTCACAAAACGTATTTCATTTTGAACAATATTGGGTTTATGTAATAAGCGATGCAATATAATACGTAAAGTTATTGTACGGTAATAAATAAAATCCGCAAAGGAAAGATAAATGACACTAATTAGTGTGACTTTAAAATCATTGTTTTTCTGCATTACGTCTTTTTAAATTGTTGGTGTTCAAATAATTCATACAATTTAACAGATTATTTGAAACTGTAATGTGAGAAAATATAAGTAGTAATAACAAACTAAGTTTATATGGCTGAACCATGTATAAACAAAAAAAGAAAATTTGGTAAAAAAAGAGTGTCTAACATGATAAAGAAAATTCAAGTGCAAAATATTTAACATAAAATTGTGTTTAAGTTCTACGAGGAAGAGGCGAATATGAAAGTCTGTACCTGCCATCAGCTATTGCTATTATAATAAAAGGGATAATACCTAGGCGAGTTCTCCGCCCTGACCAGGCTTCTGACTGACAAATACACGGCGGGGTTAAGAAACTAATGAAAGAATAAATATCTTTTTGACCGAGTACTGAATCATTTCTCAAATATTTTCAAATCCGACCTTGCACTTTAGCAGGTACGTCAACAAACCCGATTCCCTTTGGGGTACCGGGAAGGTACTGAAAAACTACCCGCAAAGTTAAGTTCCAGACCAAAATACAAAAAAGACAAAATTCATATATTCACAACTGAAAATTTTACATGGATCTCCGACCCTTCTGCTGTCGTCATCCACTCTCAAATGACATATTTATGACATTAATTTTCTTACCTACCTATCTATCGGCATTATGCAAGTACCTATGAAATGTACGTCATATTGTGGATAAGATATCCACAATCACAGATCAAAATATAACCTCACAGGAAACAAACACGATTTTACTATAAAAATACATCTAATCAAATAATTGAATTAATAACTTTAAGTATTTAACAGACCCTGTTTTGAGATGTGAAAACTTCGTAAAATAGAGACTAAAGTATTTGAAATTTCCACTTTCATACTTCAAGTAATTCAAGAGTATTTAAAATACTGAGTGAAGTACTTGGAGTAAAGTACTTGGCAAAATCAAGTACTAAACTCAAGTACATTTTAGTAATACTCCAAGTACCAAGTACCTAAATATAAACGTACTTCAAGTAAAGTACTTGAAGTAGTACTTCAAGTACTTTTACTTAAAGTACTGAACAGCTCTGCATATGATAAACTCATTCGTTAAATGTTTGCGACAAGTCAAAATCACTAATTTGATTATGCATTTTCTGGCCAAACTGTGTCTTCAATCCACTTAATGTACTGCGAAACTCGAGTATTTACAGTGGGACCGCCGGAACATTCCACTCCAAACGAAGTTAAGCCAACTATATCATACATACAAGAGGTAGCGTCGTCAATCCGATATATTTGGAGCGGACCACCAGTATTACTCTAAAAAGTCAGACATATTTTTGTCTTCTCTCATATTACTGATTATTATTATTCATTTTTAACTAACCTGACAAGCCTTTCCTTCAATCTTGTCGCTTGTGCAAATTTGGGTGTCATTTACAATTAGCCTCTTCACGCTTTTGAACCTGTTATTACAAGTTTGATGGTCTACAATATCTTGTGTTATTTTAAACACTCTTTCACTGTCGCTTCCTCCATACCGTGTATATGCCCATCCTGTAGCAATAACTCGCGAAACAGGAATGTCGAAGTGTGTGTTGAGACAAGCCGGACGAACATAAGAATTCAACTCTACGGGTTTCTCCAGTTTTAAAAGTGCTATGTCGTTGTGACGGGTAGTAAATTTAAATTCTGGATGTACTATTATACTTGCTATTTTTATTTCTTGTCTGTGGTTAGTGTCGTTAACATCTGTGACCCCCAACAACACTGATTTTGGTTTAAGACTGAAATAGTACGATACAAATTCAATACTCCAAATACTACTAATATTTTTTGACTTATTAATTAATTATTTTGAAACTTACTAGCCACCTGGAAGGATACAATGTGCAGCTGTCAAAATATATTCTTCACTGATAAGTGATCCTCCACATAACCACGTAAGATTCCCAGAATCTTCGTTCTGATATCCTAAGACTGCCATATGCGGAAACTCTTTTCGCTCAGCAGGTCGTTGTCCTCCAACAATCAGCTGGACAATTTTATGTCCACATAATTGTTTCTCTTGTATATACGAAGAAAATTCTCTACATTCTAAAACGCAATTTGAATTTGGCTTGTTTTGTAAGTACACAAAATCTCCTTTTTTACATACTTCTTTCGGTGATATCTCCTGGTCGACGAGAGTTTGGACAACAAACTACGGATTGGATTCCTTGGTAGCCGCAAGTTTGGGGCGCATTGTGACCAGACGTTATTTCGTCTTGAACCGCCTCACACTCCTTTAAGAGTTTGCATACTCCTGAAGAGTTAGACGACTTGAGGGTGCAGGGGTTTCCTGTAATTGAATTGCTTAGTTTCAAGAAAAACAAAAAAGGGACACTGTCTATACATTATCAATGATGGCATAATTTGATTTCATTTAACTTACCAATTATGTTTTCCCCATAAACATGGTTTATGGTGATTGCAAATACTATAACTAAAAGTTTAAACATTTTAGCAACTTAATCAATAATCACACTCGTGCAGAGCACTCTCTACCAGTGCTCGTTTTATAACACACGCAGTGGGTATTTACACGTCCGGTAATTCCAGGGACAAGGTTTCTTTTTGACCTTGTAGATGAAGGAAAAAATAGTGACTGTTGGGGGGAAACCATGGTAGAAATTTCGACATCAGCAAGTCGCTCAATACACTTATACGTGCTTTTGGAGTTCGATTTGTTAATGTACGACTTCCTGATTTCCTCTAAATGCAAGTCTCAAGAACTAATTTTATCTTAGAATTTAGGTTTCCGATTTTAGGTCGTTAAAAAATGAATAAAAGGAGACATTTTTAGGTCCCAAAATTGACGAATTAGGTTATGAATATACAAACAAAAAAATTATTAAATAAATAAACGATCTATAGTTACGTCCACTAATTCTAAGTTATCGCAAAAAAATGGCGATCAAATTAAAGCAAGTCGCATTTAACAAAAAATCAAATATTAATTCAGGTATTTAAAATGAGTTACAAAAGCAAACTATATATTTCTTTAAATTTTCGATTGTAAATTTACACCTTTGATCGCTTAAAACACTTTTAAGTTTTGAGAACGTGCGTTCCACGTCACAAGAAATGATGCAAAATTAAATATTGAACCATCTACGTTTTCATTTATGTATGTATTGTTGGTAGCATTTCCATTAGCGCAAATTACGTTATTTACTAAACATATAAAATCGCATCGTGGATTCTTTTTTAATAGAGAACATAATTTTTGGAACGCCATTTCCCCCACCTTTCCCGATGTGTTTTTTAAAGATGTATACACTTTTTCCACAATTTCCGCACTTTGGTTTAATTTTAAACTTATGGTTTCTAATTGTTCTATTGCACCAGCAATAATTTTAAAGTGAATTTTAATGTACAAGAGTTCATTTTCTACGTTTGCTTTATTCAGGAGTTCTTGAGCTTTTTTAATGCTTTGTGCATCTGTGGCTTTAAATGACATTACAATCTAAAAATATTCAATATAAGAATGATACTAAAAAACCATTGTTTTAAAATATCAAAGTGTTCTGCATAAAACAATGCTGCTTGAATCCAAGTTCAGGTGAGAGAAATGTATTTGGTAAACTGTTTTTATGAAACTCTACTCTTATTGGTGCTTTTAAAAAGATTTTCTTAACATTGCTAATTATCCCATTGACATTTGGATAATTCAGTCCAAATGTTTCAGACACTAAATGTAACCTATGTGCTATACATGTTAAGTGTGTTATATTTTCATAAAACACCTTCAAATTAGTACCAGTTTTGATCATGTATATGAAGTACCATCTGATACAAACCATTTAACTTGTTTGTGTTCAGTTCCTTTTGGCCACAATAAAGCTACAAATTAACAATTAAATAAATTATAATAATTTCAATACTTACAATTATTAATAGCACACCCAATGATTCGTTTATAGATCTCGAGATTGTGTTGCTATTAGTTTTATCAAGCTGCTTCAAAGCTAAGAAGTGGACGGCCAGCTTCTTCAGAAGATAACTTTCCAATTACTAAATGGGCTATGTATCTTCATAATCTGTTCGTCGTCTCATCGACGCTAATCCATAATAATCATTATTGCTAACAGAATTTCTAATTTGTTTAATTACCTGTAAATTATCTGGATTCTGGATTCTTAATTTATGGGGGCTGACCGTAGCCAGCCGGCACTTAGGCCTCGCCTTTGGGCCCATTGTACCTTCCCCAAGTCCATATCAGGGTGTTTTCCCGCTCCTCTACTCGTCAAGCCATCCAACTGCTTGAATGTACTTGAGTAATGCAGAGGGTGGAAACTCCCTGATATTTGCCATACTAGGCCAGATGTCCCCTAGTATGGATTCCCTGTAGGAGGCTAGGGCTGGACACTCACGAAGAATGTGCTCAGCTGTTTCCTCTTCTTCATTGCATCCACGACAGATTGGGTCTGTTGCTACCCCTATCGTATGTAGATGTTTGTTAAACTGGTAATGTCCCGTAAGGAATCCTACCAGTTTACGCAGTTTGTCCCTTGAAAGTGAGAGATAAAATTTTGTCAACTTACGGTCTGGTGTCGCCATACAAGCTCTACTATGCCGACAGCTGCTCAACGTCGCCCATATCTGCTCATGGCGTCTATGGGTATATTGCTTTACGAGTTCGTTCGAGAGGGCGACCGAAGGCGTGATTGCCGGTTCGGGTCCCCAGAAGGGCATACGCGCGGCTCGCTTCGCCATCTCATCTGCCCTCTCGTTTCCTTCGTTGCCACTGTGTCCTTTGATCCAACAAAGTACCACTCTATTCCTCTGCGTTACATACTTTAGCGTTTGTCTGCACTCCCAAACCAGCCCGGATCGAACCATACAGCTGTCCAGGGCTAGTAGTGCAGACTTGCTGTCAGTAAGTATGCGTATTGATTTGTTGCCGATTTCACGTTCAGCAATGATTCTAGCTCCCAGCATTATTCCCATCAATTCTGTTTGTAAGACAGACGTGTGGGTGCCGAGAGGTACACTGATTTGTGCGTTCAGTTGTTCGGAGTAGATGCCGGCTCCTGAACCACTATCTGTTTTGGCACCATCGACATAGATATCTATGTCGGCTCGTCCTTCTGAATTATCACTCATTGATATTCTATATGTCTTCTCATATATTAATTTTGTGCCCATTCGGTCACAACCCATCCTCAACAAGGGTATTCTGTTGAACGCCTCCGTTAAGATCCGAGTGTGCTTCGTTGTGCGGCCTTGCTTGTTCCATACTCCCAGAGAGTGAAGTCTTAGAGACGTCGTCATTGCCGCTTCCTCTATGTAAAGGTTGAGAGGTGCTAAGCAAAGAAGAGTCTCCAGAGCCGCTGTGGGAGTGGTCCTCATTGCTCCTGTAACACTGAGACACGCCATTCTCTGAACGTGTTCAAGTTGCAGGGCTGTTGTTTTTTGTCTGGCTCTGGGCCACCAAACTAAAGCTCCATAGCACAGCATCGGTCTGACTATTGCCGTGTAGATCCAAAGGGCGATCTTGGGATTTAAACCCCACGACCTTCCCACCACCCTACGACATTGCCAGAGAGCCGAGCGTGCCTTTTCTACTTTATCATCTACATGCTTCTTCCAATTCAGTCGCCAGTCCAATACAACTCCCAGGTATTTGACTTCGTCCGAAAGTTGAAGCGTTGTGTTAAATATTTTTGGCATCTGTAGTGTGCCAATTTTCCTTTTCCTGGTGAACAGGATTAGTTTCGTCTTTTCTCCATTAACGGAGAGGGTATGTCTGTTGCACCATTCCTCGACTATTTTTACTGCAGCTTGCATTATCTCACATAATGTATCTGCGTTTTTTCCTGTTAGCAGAATGACTAGATCGTCCGCGTATCCAATTGTGTGGTAGCCAAGATCATTGAGGCGTCGTATCAGGCTGTCAACGACAGTATCCCACAGTACAGGAGAGAGAACTCCTCCCTGAGGACATCCCCTGTCTACAACAGCCTCGATCTCAGTGCCACCTACATTAATCATTACTTCCCTGTTCCTCAGCATACTGGCCACCCACCTACTTAGGGTGGGGTCCACGTCGTGCTTTCGTAGGGCTAGTTCTATGCTTTTGAAGGTCGTTTTATCAAACGCTCCTTCAATATCCAAAAACATTCCTAAGGTGAAGAGTTTGTTCTCCATCGCCCACTCTATACGGTTTACAACTGTGTGTAGGGCCGTATCGGTGGATCTTCCTTGGATGTAGGCATGTTGGTTCGGATGTAGAGGTTGCTTGCTCAAAGCAGTCTCCCGAATCTCTTTTTCGCTTAGTCTTTCTAGCGTTTTCAGCAAGAATGATGTTAAGCTAATTGGTCTGTAGGATTTAGCCAAGGTGTAATCTTGTCGTCCTGGCTTAGGTATAAAGATAACCTTTACTTTTCGCCATGCATTCGGTATGTAGCTGAAAGCCAGACACGCCCGAAGCATTGGCAACAAAATAGGGCGTAGTCTGCTCATTCCCCTCTGCAGGAGGGCGGGATAAATACCGTCAACTCCTGGAGATTTGTATGGGGAAAAGCTGTCCACTGCCCACTCCAGTCTTGCCTCCGTGACTACCTTTGCAGCCAGCGCCCAGTCCTTCGGGGAAGGTTGAGTACCGACTACATCCCTTTTGGAATGGGAGGTAGTCCGTGTGCTGCCTGGAAACATGGTCTGCAGCAAAAGTTCTGCGGACTCTTCTAAGGTGGCTGTAAAGGTGCCATCTTCTTTCTTTAGGAAACCTGGTTGATGTGTGTGGTCCTTCGAGAGAACTCTCTTCAGCCTTGCGGCCGAAGCAGTCGACGTTATGTCGCTGCAGAAGGATCTCCACGTTTCCCGTTTCCTCTTTCTTAATTCTTTTTTAAACTCTTTCCGGTGCTCTTTATAGGCTTCCCAGTCTTCAGTTTTCTTAGTGTTTTTTGCTCTATTGAAAAGTTTTCTTAGCCCCGATTGAAGTAGGCTGAGCCTTCGGTTCCACCATGGTGTACCTTTGCCCAGACCTTCCTTCTTTAGGGGGCAACTTTTCTCATACGCTGACATTAGAGAGTCGTTGATAATGGTCAAGGTTTTCTCTATGTCTTCTGTCGAAATGTATTCCGTTGGTATAGACTGCACGGAGGTCCCCAGTCTGTCGTCCAGTTCTTCGTTGTATAAAGCCCAGTTCGTCAGCCTAGGGTTCCTGTACGTCTTTATCTCCATGTCTATACATTTTGATGTATACATGATCCATCTATGGTCTGACACTGACGCCTCTTTAGAGACGTGCCATCCCATTATATATTGTGAGATATCCCATGTAGCCAGTGTAATATCTATTACTGACTGACTACGTGATGTTACGAAAGTTGGTTCGCAGCCTCGGTTGAGAATCTCTAGATTTGTTGATAAAAGATATTCAGCTAGTGTTCTTCCTCTATCATTAGTGTCTTTGCTCCCCCACAACAGACAGTGGGCATTCGCATCGGCACCGATGATGAGGTTTATATTTC